ATATAAAACAAACCTGTATGTTCAGCACATATATCCCAGAACTTAAAGCAAAAATAATAATAATAAAAAGTGCAGTCAGCTCCTGGTTATCTGCACTAGAGGCAGAATAGTTTATGCACTGAGAAACAGGAAGAGGAGAGTGCTCGGGCCCACCCTCTGTCTCCTCAGGTGCTCCATGAGGTTACCCCTGGATCCCTGGGAGAAGGAAGAGGGCTGGCAGGTGAAACTAAAGACAGAAAAATACGGCTCTGAAAAGTAAGCTGCACTATAATGAAGGGGTGAAGGATACCATCTGCACCCAACAAGAAGGTGGTGAGAGATGCCGGAGTATTTCCTCGGCATGTGTTACTGACACATGTGGAACCTGTTTCTCTGTAGGTCTCTAAGTCAGAACCAATTCTCCTGGCCCTGGGATAATTAGGGAGACTTATTTAAAGGTTGAGGATTCAACTACATAACCTCTGAAGAATGCATCCTTCAAGCCTGAAGACATACGTAAGCAAAAACCATTTATTCGACACAGGATTAAATAATTTACCATTCGTGTCTAATACTTAAGCCCATCTACAGAACAACAAGAAAACAAAATTTGTTGTAGTAATGCATGCATTCTTTCAACAAAGATTTAACATGTCCAACACGTACAGCAATGAAGGCGAAGCAAGGTACAGAAACACTAGAGAGGTGAGGGAATCACAGAATTATCCACTGTAAGCAGTGTAAGAGATTATTCAGAGGAATAGGAGAAGGACATAATTAATCAGGGAAGACTTCTTACAAGGGGTAAAACCTAAATCAATCTGAATTTGTGATGCTCACAAATTGGCAGACAAAGAAAGACAGAAAGAGAAACCAAAAGTGCATTTACACATAAACGACAACCAATCAACAAAGGCATGGAATTGCACTTTTCCAAAGAAAAAATTAGCCTCGAAGCTATGGAGGGACCATGATGGAGAGAACAAGGTCCAGCCCAGTGGACTATAGCCTTGGACACTCTGAGGAAGGTGCTCCAACACAAAGCAAAACATTGTGACTGGCCCTTAAAAAATTACTCCCGAGACACACACAAAACATCCAGGGCTCTTCCTTACCTTTCCCATAGAAGAATTTTCGGTAATAGTAGGCCCCAAGGTCAATGTGTTCTATGATGTAGCGCTTTACTTTCTCCCTGTGAATGGGCTGGTTTTCTCTGGGCACTTCCAAGACTGAGACACCTGCATTTGTGCAGTGAGAACTGAGAGACGATTCAAAAGAGCAGCTTTCCCCAGAACTGAAAGAGGACGAGTTGGCCCGAGAGAGCGCAATCCGCCTGTCACCTTCCCCTCCAGTCTCATTTCTAAAGTAAGGACAACTAAGGACAAGGTCGTTACTTTTCCCGTCACCCTCATCGGCATCCAGGTTCTCTTTGGAGTTGAGGTCCTCCTTGCTCCCTAAAGGGGACTCACAGTTGCCTGTCTGGCCTGTGGGCATCTGAGTCTGGGATGCTGCAGAAGCCCCAGTGGTTATGTTTTTCCTTTTCCCCACATTAGCCCTCGTAGCCATGGCTTCGTTGATATTAAACAAAATGCTCTGGACATCATAATGTGCAAAACATCGCTGACAATTCCAAGGGCGAACACCCCTCTCAAGTCGGCTCTCCTCCAGGTCAGATGTGAACTTGAAAGTTTCGTGCTCACTTTTAACAGTTCGAAGCTTTCGAAAGAGGGATGTTTCCACTGACTCTGATTTCAACCTCCGTTTGAAAGGCTTGTCCCTGTCTCTCCCCATCAGGAGGGCACTGTCCATGTAGTCTAATCCTGAGATGCGGACAAATTCTCCCCTAGAAATCTGTGCTGCTGCGTGAAGGCTGGGAGAGATTGCAGGGTCACAGGGGAAAAATTCAGGGAACCCGAAAGGGACCATTGCTTTGTGGTCATAATTTTCTACTCGGTACCCTCTGAGCATAGCAAAAAAGTTTTCACCAGATAAGCCTTGCCTATCGATGGACGAAGTACTTCCATACTCCCGGTGCAGGGCAGCCCCAGTGTTGGGGTTGACTGCATTTTGATCTAAGACATCTTCGGCATCAATGTCACTGATAGTGACATCACTATTGCTCCTCTGTCTTATGGGGTGAAGCCCTCTCTGAGGGGAATGGACAAAGATGTCTCCGATGGTGTACTTGGCCTCCACGAAGTCCAGATCAAGCTGCTCCTCTTGCTGACCTTCACTCTGGTCACTCTGCCCATTCTGCATGGCGGAGGTGACGCTTTCATAACTGGTCTGAGACCGGCTTTCCCACAGTGCCTTGCAGGTTAGCTCCTTGGAACAGTCCTTTTTAGGAGGCCATTCAGACACCCTTGCTCTCACACCCATCTTGGGCACAGCTGGGGTACCATTAGCCGGACCACCACCGCCAGTCTCATTGGAATTTGGGGCATTTAAAGAAGTAGTGGGTCCCATGTTGCCATTAATGGCTTTAAACTTCCGAGCAAAATAATCATCTGACTGCATGATTCTAGGGGGATCCTTGAACTTTGAAGAGGCTCTGCCGAGCTTGTGCTTCTCTTCTTGTGACTGCCTTGGGTCACTCATGTCTACTGAGGAAGAGCCTCCAAGTCTCACCAGGAAGACTGATGTAAATCAAATTACATTGCTATTGACCACGCCATAATACTTGCAGATATAAAGGCTTGTCTGTAGTTGTATTTTTTTTTTAACCCAAAGCAAACAACATCCTCAGAATACAGTTCCTCCAAAGCCAACTTGCTTCTCTGTCGTCATAATAACGTTGTACACATCTGTTCTTTCCAACAGCATTCCTTAAGACATCTGGTCATGAGTATTTCCTTCACCTGAATTAAAAGATAGGAAGTAGCCATTAGCAATTAATATACTTCAAGTTGAGTACATTCTACGATAGATTTCGTATCTGTCTTTCTCTCCTGCTTCTGCCCAAGGAGTTTCATGATCCACAGCACTGTTTCTAACACTCCTCCCTGGAGCACCATCTTCCTTCTCTACATGGCTAGACAGAATTCACACAATACAATCAGGCCTTAACTTACCTGAGAAACTTTCTTAGGATGTCTCCCACTCTAATCACGTCTAAGCAAAGAATGTTGTGATCCCACAGCACTCCATCTATATCCAACAGAGTAATTTTCCTTATCTTTAATTGCTGTTTAGCAACTCACTGACTTCAAGTTCCTCTAAGCCAAGAACCATGCCTTTCAGCTGTGTACCATCATTAACTATTAACGTAGCCTGGCTTAAACGAGGGATTCATGAAGTATTTTAATGAATGAACTGGCAGTAAGAGTAGCACAAGTCACATATATAACAAGTTTCAGTATTATTATTTTACTTTCTTTCAAAACATTTAAACTCAAAATGTCCCACAACAAAAGGGTCAATACCAGACATTGACAGGAGAGTTTTCATAACAATCACTTGTAGTCAAGAACTCACACAGCTCCCCCTTTAAGTGGGAAGAGGTCTTCAAGGATCTGGTTGGTATCTGATACATCAAATACATTCAGTGGGAGATACTGGGTAAGAAGTTGTTTTTTTTGTACCTCAGTTGTCAGTTTTTCAGTCTCCAGGAATGGATTTGATAGTAGCCTAAGCTGTATAGGAAATAACTGTAATTCAGTCATCCTTGATCCTTTTAAACATAATAATTCTAAGAGAATTAGGTAAGACATAGTCATTTATCTTATCTTTCTGAAAACCATGGGATAGTACGTGTATTCTGTGCATGTCAGTATCTGACTACTCATTTTCCCTCTGTTTGCCATATCCTAATATATCATTTTATTTCCTCCATAATGGAACAGCTCTGAGAGTAGATGACACATTGCCATCCTAGAACTAAATTATTTTTTATGGTAGGGGAAAGCAACTGTCACCACAAGAAAATATCTACTACTCCAAGACACCCCCACATGCTCATCTCAAAGCCATTAAGAGTCCACTGGAAAGAGTTTTTGTGCTGTTAAATTTGTTGGGATTTGAATACTTTCAAGCTGAATTAGTTATTAATATTTCTTATGCTTTGGCTATATTTTACCTTTATTACCCTCATTATGTTCAGAAGAGGTAAAGTGGTTCTTTCATTCTTCTGCCAATGAGTAAGACAACCTGTCATGAGTTTGGAAAATAATATCTGAAAATGTTTGTGTCTAAATAAAGAAAGAATAAGTTCAAAGAATAACATGTGTAATTAAAGAGAAGAGTTATTAAATCAAGTATCTACAAACATATGGGTAAACTGCAGTGTTTCTATTTCCAGGGGACTTTATTTTACAGGTCACTTGTGGCATAATGAATTAGAAAGTTGTACTCTTGCAAATAATCAGTCCTTAACTAGAAATGACATTAACAAATGCATCTATGAAATGCAAAGAACCACTTTAATCATCACCTCGAAACTCCTTTATCCTCTTATTTACAAAATGAATGCCATCCAAATAATTAGGACAAATCCTACCTTCCTTTCTTTTCTGTGTCATGGCATATACTGAAGTACCAATATCTGTGCAGCACAAGGGGGTCAAGAAGGAAATGCTCAGACTAAAGGCATAATCGACTGACCACCCTGGGCTCAACCCATCACCCAGAGAGATGAGCAAACCAGCATCTCCCCACACTTTTAACCTATTGACCACACTCCACAGGGAAGCTCTGAGTTTAAGGCACCAACTAATAGATGTGCAAAATAAACTACAGAAACTATTAAATATTAAAACCAGGATTAGCAAGGGTAAGGCGATAATTAGTCCTGGAAAACCTGACCAGCTATTATAATTTACTTGGCTCAGATTCTTATTTGAAAATCTATCTTCTAAGCTTTCAGATTCCTCTAACATTTGTAGCTTTCTCAATGTTTAACAGACGACATTAAAGATACAAAATGTTTATTACACCTATCTTGTGAAAAAATGGAAGACACCAATATATAGTCAAATATAAAGATTAGCTGGGTGTGGTGGCTCACACCTATAATGCCAGCACTTTCAGAAGGTGAGGCAGGAGGATCACTTAACCCCAAGAATTTGAGATGAGCATGGGCAACACAGCAAGAGCCCATCTCTACAAAAACTTATTTTTTTAATTAGCCAGGTGTAGTGGTACACAAATGTAATCTCAGCTACTTGGGAGGCTGAGGCAGGAGGATCCCTTGAGCCTAGAAATTAGAGGTGGCAGTGAGCTATGATCACACCACTGCACCCCAGTGTGGGCAACAACGTGAGATCCTGTCTCAAATAAATATTTTAAAATATAAATAACATATGAAATTAAAAATAGATGAATTTATGCTGAATCTTATCATTAGGTTCACTATAAAGGACAAAAACTATAGCAAACTGAGGGCACATGAAATTTTTTCTTAAAGGTATCTGAGAATATTCCTTCTGTTGTGAATTTTGATAATTTGTTTGTGCTAAGAACACCGGCTTTAGTTGACAGCTACTGATTTTTCCTATCTAGAATCCATTCCCCTTTCTCTGGTAATGGTATTTTGAATTGCTTTGGAGAATCATTTAATTTGTATGAGGCTAACTCCACATCTAACACGTGGCCAGTTAAGAATACCTCATCCCCCGGCCACAATTATTGGTCCTGAGATGCAGCGCAGATCCCATCCCCTTGCAACTCCTCCCCTGAGATCTTCCTCTATTGTAGCTTGTGGAAACTCTGTGTTGTTTAATCTCTCTCCCTCCTCGCTTGTTTTCTATGCCCTGCCCCAGTCATACCAAATGTCTTTCAAGTCTTCAAACAGCCCACTCTCCAGGCTTGTGTCCCAGCTGCTACCTCTAAATGGAGCATCCACTGCCTGTACTGAGCTGACAATCATTCATGATCATCCCTCTCCCCCAACTGAGTAACCCTAACACATATTCCCATGGTGTCCTCTACTTCCCAAACAGCCATGTTCCATGCCATCTAATGACTTCCTGCTTCTGTCTGTGTGTCTCTCCCCAGGAGAAAGCTCTGTGAATCCAGCCTATGTTTGTTTTCTCCATTTCATCTGTGGTGCCTGGAGCTGTTTCTAGTATGTGGTAGATGTTTAAAATATTATTAAATTAACAAATTACTACACAAATATGTTAGGCAGTAAGCCCATATATTATAAAACATCTAAATGGAAAATTCCAGTAGTCACAGGAATACAATATATTATAATCACAAAAATTTCATATGATATAACTTTGTAAAAAAACCACTCATTATACAATCAGATACCTATGAATGGTTGTTAACACTATGCAGGACACTATTTGCTCCATGTCATTTTCCCAAATCCTTGTAACAGGTAAACAGAAAATTCAGCAACTATTCCACTCTGAAAAGAGAGCTTCCCACTCCCACTTTTGTACCAGCAAAACGAGGTGATTACAGACATGTCTTCTAATTGTATACAAAGAAAAGAACGCCATACTTCATCTTCTAAGCATCTCTGCAGCTTCCTCTAGTAGATCCCAAGGCCCATTCCCAAACATGACAGGTAATAAGGAGGCCTAAACGGCCAATCCTGCCATCAGAATCTGTCCCCTTGTGAGCGGGGCTAAGCAGCTGACTGTCTGCAGAGCTCAATTTTCTGTAGGTGGCATGCCGCCAGCTTCCTGGGGCTCTGGATGCACGCCCGTAAATGGTACCACTCCAAAACTGGATGGCACATGGAAACTGTGCAATCGAAAGACCTGGTCAAAAGGGCACCTCAGCTTCATGACCAAGTTAGAGATGAAGCTATATGAAGCGAGGAGCCCACACACACCTTCTTTATCACGAGCAGCTGAGTGTTACGCCTGTCTTTCCCTCTCTGTGATTTTACATTATCTTGTCATTCTAACAGATTGGAAAAAAAAAAAAAAAACACAGTTATAGTTTTAGACTGGCAAATGTAGAGTCCTCAGAAAAGGCCATGGTATTTTCCTTAGAAAGCAAAAGTTCTATAATGAAATATTAAGAAGATACAGCATAAATTGGATTCTCGTTGTACATGTATACAGTGAGTACCACAGGTACCATTAGCTCCCTCCTGCCTTATTCTAATTAAGAGCACAAGGATACTAACTACTTTCCTAAGTAAATGGTTCAATGAACTCATACTTCTAAGCTGGTATAGCTTAAGAAAAAGCAAACATCAATGAAAATGTGAGGCTCACTTAATCCCTTCCCGAGAACTTTATAAAGATGACAGACTAATATTTTACATGAGGCCTGTGACCTTGCCAGCAACATGAATATCCTCTCTTCCAGGTAATTTCCTAAACCTAGATTCTGACCATCTGGAGGGTGGTGAGAAGAAAGACTTTGCCTTTGAATGATTTAATTAAAATGGATCTCTAGATTGTGTCTACATACAGTTTTCTTACTGCTAAGCTGCTTTTTACTGTCAAAGGCACTGTCCCTTTCTCTCTCCCATAGTTTCCAATTATTCTTGCATTTCATGAAATTCTATGGCTTTTGCTCCCCAGGAAAAATAAAAAATTATCACCAACATTCTGCAAGCACTTTTTAAAAACCAGACAGAAGCCCCACAGGTAGTGGGGTGCCCCCAAGTGAGGAAAGGCTAGGGTACACAGCAACCATCTGAAATTGAAGAATTTTAGTGCTGAAAGGAGTAATCTGTTCTCATGCTGTCTTGGTAATAATTTTTAAAGGATAGAAAAGAAAAGATATGGAGAACATTTGATATTTAAGCATAATTGTCTTTAAATAAGATGTTTTTCAAAGTTTTCCATGAGACATCAGTGAGTCTTTAAGACCAATATTATAGTTATAATTGAGCCACTTATCAGGACTGCAGCTGTAGCAAATGGATTGAAAATCACAAAATGCGCAAATT